AGCCCAAGCTTAATCTCCGTTCAAACCCTTTAGTTGGACAACAAGCCCCAAGCCTTGCTGCCCAGGTTTGACGTACGTGGTGAGCCGGCCTCAGTTTTCAGCCTTACTTCAGTTTCACACTTCCTGTCTCAGCCCTCTGTCTGAGCAGACCTTTTTTAGGCTCGCCAGCCTCGCAAAAACAGCCTGTTTTCCAAGCCCGCTGGCTTCAGGCAAGTGAGCCCACAGAGCCCACTGCGCGCCCTCGCCGGGGCCTCACGACTAGCCTTGCTACGCGTCAGGGCCAACTCAAGCCTGGCCCCCTAGGTCAGCCTGAGCCCGCAGAGCTCAGTTTGTACTTAAGTTTCACACAAGCCTGGATTGTCGAGCATTTGGTTCTTCACTTTTTTTTCAGGGGGTGGAACGAAAGGAGACACGGGCTTGAGCCCGCAGCCTTTCAAGCCCTCCTTTCCGCTACACACTCAGCGCAACCCAGAAAAAAGGTGCGAACCGCTGTTGCTGTTTTAGTGGCTAGCTTTGAACCTCGGAGCAGTGCAAGCCCACAGAACTTGCAGGCTCTGCTGCAGAGAGGAAGCAGCCTCTTTGGGAAGGGCCTTAAATTGGCTCAGAAACTTCTCATAGTCTCCTGCAGGGCAGGGAAGGCTCTGCAGGCACTCTGAGCCCCAGTCCTTTCTCCAGCGAAGGCACCATTCGCTTGGCTCTTGCTTCCTTAGTGACCCAGTACCTCAATCCTTTGTATTGGTCACACTCAGGGCAGCCTGACTGCCAGCGGCACTTGGAGCAGATGCCCTTAGCACGCTTCAGATTTCTGCATTTCTCAATTGCCTTAGCACTCAGGTCCTGAAAGTTGAACTTGTGACTGTGCTTAGCAATTGCTTCTTTGGCACTCTTAGCCAGCTGGGAGGTCAGGCTTGTCAGTGCCTTAGCAGTCTCCTGAGGCTTCTTGAAATTCTTCTCAGCTTGCTTCGTCAAGGTCTCTGCCTTGGCATTCTGAAGGGCCACCTCCTGCTCCCTCTTCTCATGCTCCTTAGAGAGCATGTCACTGGCCTTCTGGAGCCTCTCCCTCCAGATCTTAGCACGGTCCCCGATCCAGAGCTTAAGAACCTCACTCAGGTGTAGAACTCAAAGGCCAAAGACCCTTTGGGCTGGTCAGCTGAGTTGGCCCTCACTTTAGGCTGCTCATACTTGGGGTCAGCTAATGACCCTAGCAGCAGCTCGGCATGGGCTCAGCCAGACTGTCAAAGAGGGTCCAGGTGAAAGCCTCAGTCTGCCCCTCACTGGCCCTCAAGCACCAGAGTGGTCCAGTGATTCGAGGCGAATATGGTGACCCTGGTCTCATAATTGGTCGACTCAGGGTATGCAGTCAGCAAATGTGCTAAGGCAGGGTCTACACAGTTGACTGACAGCTCCTCACGCAAGGCAGCCTTGGCTTTCCTTAGAGCCCACCTCAAGAGGCCCCAGCCTAGCCACAGCCACTGGTCCTCAACCACGAAAGGTTTCTTGTGCTGAGGCACTGGTAGGAGAATGGCTGACAGGCTTTCGTTCTCATTTAATGTGGCCTCAGGGTAGCAGTAAAGCTGCCTTAGCAGGTCTCGCAGCTCTGCCCTTGACATCTGACTCCATCTAAGCCACAAAAGCCTTAGACTCTTTCTTTGGGTCATGACTCCTCAGATACTCTGCAGGAATGCTGAAAGTTCCTGAGGGTGTGAGCACTGAGTAGTTGCCTGCCTTAAAGTCTGTGGCAGTGCCTGAGACCCCAAAGAGCTTTGCGCCTGCTGCCTCAGCATGGCAGAACACTCACTGTCTGTTCAAGGAGCTCAGGTGGAGGGCCGCTGGGTGGTGGCAGTGGTGGCAAGTCCTCCTCACACCCGGGTCAGTGGCACTCTACCGTGCATGGCGCCCAACCAGTTCGCACCCCGATTGTTTAAAGGAAAAGCATAAGCAGACTGAGTGAAACAATTCTTTCCCACACACAAGTTATTGTCTGTATGGATGATCAAATACCCCTGTTGGATTTTTCATGCAAGCTCAAACAAGCGAAGGTTATCTTTCAATGGCTGAACGTAAACTTTATTCGGCCACAAGCTTTTGAGGCAAATTTATGGAATAGAATTTCTACGGCGTCGAGATGGATTTGACATACTGGAAGACGCTAACTCCTGCCTCTTCAGTACATAGGGAAAATCCCAGATAAAAAGGGAAACGTCAACCAGTTGAGATGCTCGTTTAAGTTAGGAGAAGCGAGCTACGCGAGCGTTTCTATTTTTGGATCTCTGTGGCAAGCGGAGTAATGGGGAAACGCCAATTTTATCACGCATGTATACTTTCCACGTCATGTGCCTTTTCAATATGCACGGTTTTTAAGCATGGTGATTTGTTTCCGGAAACCTTGCAAACTTGCCTTGCATGCAGAATCGGAGGGAACCTGAAGGAAAGTGTCCAGCCCACGCATCCCGGGTCAGTGGCACTGGCATCGAACCAGTTCGTATCCTGATTGTGAAAAAGAAAAGCGCGCGCATACAAAACGAAACAATCCTTTCCCATATGTAGCTTAGTAATGTCTATATGGATGAACACAATAGCCCTGGTAGATGCATCATGGAGGCTCGAACAAGCGAACTTCATATTTGAATGGCTGCACGTAAACATTTTTCAGCCACAAGGTTTTTAGTAAAATTTATGGAGTGGAATTTCTATGGCTTCGAGATGGAGGATATGGCTAACTCTTGCCTTTCCAAGACACTGTGAAACTCTTCACTAAAAAACTACAACTCATAAACGTTTCTGCAAAGTAATGATGCTCCCTGACTATCTGAGACTTTGAATAGGCGCAGCTCGTCATGCGGCGCAAGGCTTCAAGCGAACAAACCACATCGCAGCCACGTATGTGTTTTCATGTGACAGGGGGCCCCTCGCAAACTTGTGACGTGAACGACTCATACGTCAGTTCGAGATTCCTGCCCTCCAAAATCCACCAGTACCCTTCAGAGAAAAGCTGTGTACCCGGCATTTTAGTTTCAGTTTGAGGGCATCCAATTCGCATACTCGTAGTTCATAGTCCGCCATATCAAGCGTGTGATGCAGTAAAATACCTAATCAAGCCGAATGATTCATTCAATGGTGGGGGATTTTGCGCATTACCAAATACAAAGCTCATGTCACTCAGACATGCAAAGGGTGCGCAGGCAAATTCCTGGTTTGAGACAACACATATCATGTCACACGATTTCAAAGCTGAAGCCATTGCAAACCTTACATGCAAAAACCATGCTTGGATTTCCGAAGAGGATGGAACAAATCCTCACACGTGATTTCATTTTGAGGAAATCATAGCAGGCATGTCAATACTATATGCTCACGTCAACACTTCATTGAGTTTGTGAATTGTAATTTTCATTGGGCAAGATGTGCATAGCCAAAACGGCAAGTTACAGCTTAGGATTCAGCGTTGATTCCATGATTTTCCACAGGGCTACAAGCAGAAAGCTGCGTTCCTGCTTCAAGCTACATGAACAATCCAACAGCAGATTGGCAGCAGATTCATCGTGCACAGTTGTAGACGGACTTTGTCACCAGGTACATGTCATGATGGTCCGGGTCACGCCTAGGAAGGTGGATGCAATGAGAATACAGAAGTCGCGCCAGGGCACCTTCACGCGAGGTGCCTGCATATTTGGGCAACGTGAATTGCGCAACAACATATGCTTGAGTCCAGGCAGACTTAAGCTGCTAGCAGCTGTCGCTGTTGCTTGTGGAACTGCTGGCCAGAGCTTCATTGCCAGCAGGCGTGTGGCACCGCAAAGTTCATAGTGAGGACATTTTGTTCCGCGCGTTCTTGAGGTCTCTCTCACGGCGGTGGATCTTATCCTGCGCAATAGCCGGCGCAATCGTGTCAAAGGTGGGAAGTTGGGGTATATGCTCATGAAACGGTTTGATGGTTGATCATTCTGGAAAGGAGCCAGCCCGTGTGCATGCTGCAGAGACGGTTATGATGCTGCAAAATGCCGTTCCGGCGTCCAAAGCGCAGATGTACAGGATCGCGGGGGATCAGAATTTAGGTTTCAGGCGAGGTGTCCAAGATGTATCAGGACGTCAATCTTTTCTCGTGCATTTACACAAGATCCTGCTCTAGCCATGTGCCAGGTTCGCGTTGGGTGTAAGCCGGTGCCTCACTGCTAGCTATCTCCCGGAGCCACTTGCAAGTAGTGATCTTTAAGTTAGACCTTGAACAAGACTGGAGACTCCAGATTTGCCGAATCTTGGAGTCGGAGACATTCTGTAACATAGCGAGACCTTCAGACAGCGTGGGACGTTGTCTAGGTAGCTTGGCAGTGTAAAGGGTCATGATTGCATTAACGTAGGGTGCAATTTGTTTGCAAAGCAATTTCTCTGACCCGCGCAACCCAGAGGGACAATTCAGTACATGCTTAAATTCTTCTTGGAAGGTATGGTAAGCCTGCAGCCCGCCCCATAAGGACAAATTGTGGTTGGCATGTCCTCATTCCAGTATGTGCTGGATGCATGAGTCTGTAGAATGCATGTCAGCGGCAGAAGTGCCGGTACAGTTATAGGGTGGGTCTTGCCTTTTTAAAGATGTTCGGTCAACCGCTTGGCAGGTTGAGATTGTTCAGCAACAGGAGGGTCTTGGATGAATCAACCAGTAACCCTGCGCAGGAACTTCGGACTGAAGCCCAACATTGGCTTACAAGTCAGGTGTGGAGCCAAGACATTTGTTTCAAGCACCTGCGGGCACCTCACCCGCCTGGGTATATTGTTGCCGAGGAAGCTGGATAGGAAGGGACGGATGTCTGATGGCGAAGTTCTGCGTGCTTGCCAGGACCAGGCAAGCTACAGCAGACGTTTAGCAAACATTCTTCATGACTTTCAGCCGACAAGGCACAGGTAGCCTTGGCGAGGCTGCTGTACTATTCCCTAGGTCCAAGTCTCGAGATTTCGCTAGACTTGCATGCAGTTCTGCAAGCCAGGGTAGGCAAGCTTCCAGATTCGTGAAGAGGAGATAGCGAATCTGTGAATGGGTTGGAACAACATCATGGGTTGCACTCCATCATGCTTTTGCGTTGAGTTTTTTGTTTCCGATTCTGTAGCTTTCATCTGATCGTGTTGCTGGCAAATTAGGAGCTTGTGGCAGGTTGTGCTTTACTTGGAATGGGAGGTGAAGGGCGAGCCACTCATTTCAGATATGTCTCGTTCGGTGCCAATACAAAGTGCCGGTAGAGTCCGGTAGAGATAATCGAGGCAGTTAGCTCTCAAGACTGGCTGGAGCCAAATTTGGCACACCCAAGCAACTATTGAACCAAGAAGAAGCAATGGCGCGAAAGGACAGCAGCAGTCCGTCTGTTCACGTATTCCTGTTGCGGCCGACCTTTCAACAGCCTTTTCAACGGCGGCGTGGGTGGCCAGTTTTTGAATTGCCTTGGGCCTGCATAGCGAGCCACAGCTTGGGCATGTAATTTCCAAGCATTTGCCAGGTATCGACTTTGTCAATTGCACCTTGGTAACTGCCAATGCCGATGTGCAAGTACCGCCTAGCCTTCTCCAGCAACCTCATCACGTCCCGCTCCGCCAGTGAGCGAGCCAAGTAACCAAGTATGTGCGTCGCACAGCCGTGAGGTCGGTGATGATGGTCTGCATGTAAGTCTGCCTTTTTTCTTTGGTATAGTTGCATTGTTGAATCTTTTGGTTGGCAGTTCATCATTGTTAATGACATGTCCTAACGTGGGCTATTGGAACGTGAATGCCGCACTTTTAAGAAACCGTGCGCGGTCATGCGCATGAGAAACATACACTGTATCAAGCAGCAGCCTTTGTGGCAGCAATCATCATTCGAAGCTTCTCTTGCAAATCAAGTTCTGCATTTGTGGCCAGCTGTCGAAGACTGCGACTGATGCAGGCACACCTCAGTAAGGAATCCAGCGTCTCCTTCGTGATGCAGAACCATCTTCTCAATTTCTCCACCTTTGGCAGCAGATGCGATGCTATGTTGGACTTGAATGCAATGTTCCCGTGGGCTGATTCGCAAGTCCACTGCTTGAAATGCCTCTCTGCAGTATTGCGAATAAGAATGCATGAGAGATTCGTGATTATCGATGGTGTCCTGGCGACAACTGTGCTTAGCTGCTTTGCGCTAGAATTGGCCAGGCGGCCGCTTGCAAAGCTTTTGTTGCTTGTGCCACTCTAGGTGGCAATTTGGAGATTTGCCGACATTTATCTAGTGTGCATCAGTTGCTGGAGTAATGTTTGATAGGTCCGTGGCTTGGGTGTTTTTGCCGCGATGCCGTAGTGCCGCAAACAACAAAAATGTCCGCAAGGTTTCTCGATTACCTGCTGGGGAAGGGGGGGCTCGTCGTCGTCGTCGTTGTTGTTGTTGCTGTTGATGTTCCCACGTGTGTATGGGATGGTAGCTCCTTGTTTGCCTGTGGTTTAGATGATATGATTATTTGGGTTCCACACTCATGTCACAAGATGCTTGTATAAGCAATTTGTCCAGGATGCGGTTTTGTCTAGTTGCAAGTCTCTGCGCATCGTGACTTGTTGTTCGCAGCCTGGCAAGGACTTTGCATGTATCTACCACATTTCGTCCCAGGCGACTTCCATGTGCAGTTTGTTCGTCCGCCCGCCGTTGCCAGCGCATCGGCCAATCAATTTTGATGCCTTTTCCATTCCCGGATCAATCCCAAGCATCAACACACAAATGTCAAGTCCCGACCGTGATTATCCAATAGAAGCAGCCTGAATAGCATCAAGAGCTAAACATTCTGCAAGATGCTGCTGCTTGTGGGTGTAACCTGCCGGTCTTGCAACCATCCTTATTATGAAGCAAGTCGAGGGGCCCCGCAATCAAGCGGATTAAAGGCTTAAAGGTGCCACTTGCCGAAACCTCCGTCAAGCGACGGGACAAGCGGGCATTGCTAGATTTGCGGCTGCTGGTAGGCGTGTGTTTCTGGTGCAGCAGATCCCCATCATCTTCAAAGTGAGGATGGAAAGTAGGTATGATTCTGTATGATGCGCTTTCGGTCCAACTCTGTATTCCGGGCTCGCTCTGTGCTGTTTTTCTCGTGCCCGCGCTCATTTAACTTCTCTGTAAAGATGTGAAGCAGCTACTGGGAACAACGGTTTAATTTGTCGAGTGCGTGGAAAAGGTCCGTAGCGCAGGCATAATCAATATATGCCATGCTCCGTATGTGTGAAGCGCACCCCACTTCAACATACATCTGGCACGTTGCAAGCGGTTAAAGAGCAAGGAGCCATCAGCCTATGCCGACCTCAGGGGGCTTGTGTTGTCCAAAGCAGAGCGTGAGGCAAGCAATATGTGCACCTTGCTCTCACGTGCGCAATGGTGCTATGCCTTCATTGTGTGCACCCCCGAATCTTGGACCGTGCTCGCCCACTGGCCTGCTTGCGGCCGCAAGTCCGGGTCCCTGCTTGAGGTGTCGTTGGTGAACTTAAAAATCTGCATGATTCTTTGCGCGAGCTTTTAGCCAACGCGAGCCCATGCCGTCGGGCATGTGAAAGCCTCATATTCTACTGCAGGCTAGTTGGGAAACAAGTTTGGCTGGAGCTACGACGAATGGCAGACAACCAACGCACCTTGCTTAGAAGTGGCATGTTTGCTCGCACGTATCTGTTGAACATCGCCGAATGCTGGAACATTCACGCGGCGGCTTGTCGAACGGTGGTTCCCGAGAGAAGCAACATGCAGCAGCGGGGGGTGGACCATGTTCGGTTACTGATTCCGAGAGGAAACCGAGTTGGTTGGTATTTGATCTGCACTCAGAAGCAGCTGCCAGGCCGCCCACTGCATGGAAACATTATTAGGGTTATAAGAAACTCACGAAGCATGAACCCTAAACAATCCCAAATCCTAAACTAAACCTGAAACAATCCAAAAAGTCGGGACATACAACTTTAAACAAGCCGTAAAAGCCTCAACAATAGCTGGACAACCCCAAGCCTTATTTAAACCCCAATCAAGCCAAAACCCAACGCTCTAAACAACCTTACATTCTGAGCAGCAATAAAACTGTGAACACCCCCGAACCTGGAGCCCTAAACAACCCCAAACCTTTTACCAAACCTGAGCCCCCAATCCTACACAGTCCCAAACCTAAACTCTAAACAACCCCAGACCCTGAACCCTAAACAACCCGCAATGGTCGGGGTCTACAAGTGAAACATATTCATGTGCGTAGTGCTGACGGTTTGGGGGTGTTCAGGGTTGACCAGGTTTTGGGCAGTGTCAGATTTCGGGTTTGTCCGAGTGTAGGGTTCAGTTTAGTTTCTAAACCCTAAGCTCTTTGAACGCACTATACCCTAAACCCTAAACAACCCTAAGCCGTAGACCCAACCCGGGAGACTAACTCCCATCTTAACTCTAAACTACCCTAAACCTCTCAAACCAAGCAAACAGCCGCAAAATCCTAAACAACCCCCAGCCTTAGACCCTAAACCCTGAGCAAACACAGCAAGCTAAATCCATGCAATCCCTACACCATCCCAAACCTTCAACCCTTACCAACCAAGCCCTAACCAACCTCAAACCCTAAATCCTACATAGCCGGGAACTCTCAATCCTGAACAGCCCCAAACCCTAAACCTAAACAAATTGCAAGCCTCAAGTCCAATATAGTCCTCCAAGACGAAGCAACCCCAAACCTTCCACCCTATTCAACCCCAAGCCTCAAACAATCACAAAAAAAACAGAGCTCTAATCAACAATCCAAAACGACCACATCTGACCCAAATCCAGGTTCTGGGCCCGAAAACCTGGGTTTGGCTGATGTGGTGGTCTTTTTTGGTTGTTTTGGATGGGTTAACATTAACTTTGATGGGTTTCCTCAGGTTTTTGACTCCTCCTGGCCCCAATTAGGCCAAAATGGGAACTCATTGTGGCATGATTGGGGCCAGGAAGGGTCAAAAACCCAAAAAACCAATCAAAGATGACTTTAGACACGGTTCTCTGTGCAGGCTGACCATGTTCTAGCCCACGATTGCATTTTGGGGGGGCAAATCAGCTGCCAGTAGCACCCACATTTCCGGCATTGGACGAGCTTTGGAGCCACAAAAGTGCTGGAAATATGGGCAAAAAGCGGTCAAAAACCATTGAACATGCACATTTTATAGGGTGTGGCCTGGGCGAGGCGCGCCAAACCTCTCTCATGCTTGCCCGGTGGGCAAAGTCAGTCTAGAAACCTGGCAAAAGGAGAAACGGGACCCCAATGATGCTGATGA